CTTGAACCCAGGAGGTGGAAGTTGCTGTGAGCTGAGATTGCGCCACTGCACTCCAGTCTGGGCAACAGAGTAAGACTGTTTCACGAGAAAAAAAAAAAACAAAAAAACACCCAGTTGGTACTCAATAAACACTCACTTCCAGCATTACCATCACTTTAGCCTATGGTTAGTTACTTCAGCATCCCCAACTCCCAACGCCCCCCCGCCCTGCCCAATGTGCCGAAGACCCTGGCAGGTGGACCAGTCAGGAAGCCAAATGCCCATCTGTCACTCCTGCCTTCACCCAGCCTAGCATTGCTATTTCCTGCTACCATCGGGCTGGGGGCCTGGTTCTTTCACTAGAGCTACCATGCACTGAGCCAGCATCTGGTATGTGTTAACTCATTCCATTCTCAAAGGCCACTGATAACATCGTGCAGGACGGATTTGGGACCTAGCAAGACTGACTTATCCAGGGTCACTCTGCTGATAAGAGGAACAGCTGGGGTTCAAACCAAGGCAGCTGGCTCCAGAGCCTACGTGCTTAACCACTACCCTCTTGTCGCCTCTCTTAGTGGCAAATGATAAAAACCCACTTCCTAAGAGTTAAGGCAGACAGGAAAATGTGTACATCATGGAGCCAAATTGGAGAAGAAATACAGCTGGGTGGGCTTTAAAGTTGGTTGGAACCTGGAACATAAACGCTGCCAGGACTGTCTCCCTGGCCCTTGGCTTTCTGTGCATGTAGGTTAGGCTCCCAGACTAACCCTCTCCACCAAGCTCAGGATACCATCTAGTTTCACCTTTCCCAGCATCACCACCTGCTGCATGAGCCTGAACTCACCATTGGAGGCTTTGGCATCAATAATCCCAGGGGAGGGCTCTGATTGGCCCCACCTTGGCCCAGATAGTAATCTTTGGACCAAGCAGTGAGGCCCAGGAAGGAGGGTGTCTCCCATAAGCCCGGCTTGTCTTCAGTCTCTGGCATGGAGGGTGGGGTCACGTGACAACACGGAAGTAGCCCTTGCCCCCACAGTGAGGCAGTGTGTTGGGTGGGGAGATGGTTTTTCAGAGGAAGAGGGGTTCGGACTGGCCACGAAAACAAATTGCTGTCCACCTACTCTGCCCAGCCTATGACAATCACACAGGCCCAGCAGAGGGAAAGTAAGTGAGGCAGAAGCTGGAGGGATGGAAAGCAAGAACAAAGGGCTGTGTTGGTGATGAGTGTGGGGAGAGTGTCAGGAAGACAGTGCAGTGTGATGTGGGGAGGAGAGTCAGTGAAGGTCGAAGGTGGGGGGTCAGACTGGAAGACGAAACCCTCATCAAATGGGCATGTGTCTCTAGGTTCCTAAAAAAACAAAAGAAAATAAAAATAACCTTACTGTAACCACGCCGTGGGTTCACCTTGCTCACTGCCTTAACAGAGCTGATTTATCAAGACAGGGGAATTGCAATGGAGAAAGAAGAATGTATGCAGAGCCGCTGTGCAGGAGACTGGAGTTTTATTATTACTCAAATCAGCCTCCCCAAGCATTCTGGGATCAGAGTTTTTAAAGATAATTTGGTGGGTAGGGGCTTGGGAAGTGGGGGGTGCTGATTGGTCAGGTTGGAGATGGAATCGTAGGGGGTCAATGTGAGTTTTTCTGGCTGTTTTCTATTCCTGGGTGTGACGGAACAACTGGTGGAGCTGGGTTACCGCCTGGGTGGTGTCAACTGATCCATCGAATGTAGGGTCTACAAAATAACTCAAGGCTGATCTGAGGTTTGACAATAGTGATGTTATCCCCAGGAGCAGTTTGGGGAGTTCAGACTCTTGAAGCCAGAGGCTGCGTGACCCCTGCACTGTAATTTCTAATCTTGTAGCTAATTTGCTAGTCCTGCAAAGGCAGACTGGTCCTCTTCTTCAAGAAGAGGGTCTTTTCGGGAAAGGGCTATTATCACTTTTGTTTTAGAGTCAAACCGTGAACTGATTTTTTTCCCACAGTTAGTTTGGCCCACGCCCAGGAATGAACACGGACAGCTTCAAGGTTAGAAGCAAGATGGAGTCGGTTAGGTCTGATTTCTTTCACTGGCATCATTTCCTCAGTTATAATTTTGCAAAGACAGTTTCATTACCATGGTAGAGCAGTTCTCCCCGTCTCACATTTGGCTAAATAATATGATCCCTATTTAATAGGTGAAGAAACTGATGCTCAGAGGCATTTAGCAATTTATCTACAGTCAAGCTAGAATCTTCTCACTTCCCTGTCCGCACTGTTTCCCTGACACTTCTGGGAGGGCAGGTCATCCCTCTCATTAGAAGAAGCCACTTTCTTAATGAGCTCAGGTGTGCACTGGCTGCTGCGAGCTGGAGATCCCAGGGCTGAGGGTAGAAGCATTTGCTCTCTTCTGTCCTCATCTCAGTTTCAGCAGGGGTCCCAGTACCTCTCTGCCCTTTGCTTTCCTGCTTTTACCATGGGGGAACCTGGCTAGTGTTTGTCCACAGGAGCACTTTTGGGATTTTGGACTGGATGGTTTTCACTGTTTTCTGAATGACAAGGTTCCTCCTA